ATCCCAGTAGAATAAACATGTAAACTGCCCTCTTTGTTGAAGGGGTGAGGATATAGATTATCATCTCCAAGTGCCACAGTCATTGCCACTGTATGTGGTCAAAACATGACTAGTGGTTCATTAGAAGATACTTTATTCCTAATTTTCTCTTCTGTTTAATCAATTTTGAATTAGAATTCTATTTTTTATGAAAGGCTCCCAGCCTTTCAAGTGTTCTTGATTCATATCAATACTAATATTAAGTGTTTTGATGTTTGTGTCGGATGATTGAAGCAGAAAGGTCACAAATATTATTTACAAATACTAGATGTATATTTATAAGTTGAGAAAAATATGTCTAAGTTGTGAAAACTTTATGCTGAAAAAGGTTAAATAACAATGATAGTGAAAGGAAGTCACCTTGGAGTAGGCAGTGATCTTTTGATCTATATAAAAACAAGCTGTCACCAACAACAGTAATGAGATGTAATCAGCCTTAAAACTGGTACAACTGAGAAAGAATGGAAGATTTTTACCATTGTCATGCTTATCCAGTGTATAAGTACACTCTGGTCAGTGGTAGTAGGTCAACACTAACTTCAGCCTACACTGGACATGTTTCCCTTCTGTATATTATATGTCACTTTATATGGGTAGATTTAAACCAAAGTTTGTCTGGAAAATGGGGTGGAGGTGGAGGGAAGGATGGTTGTATAAGGTTTTATAATTTTCTGTGAATGAAGTTTATAAAGCACTGGGGTAAGAGAAGTATAGACAGGGAGGATAAAAGCTGGGACTGTGATTCAAGATGCTATTTCACCTTTCTCCTGTATGCCTCAGAAGAATTTCAGTAGCCTGAATTACTGTATAAAATGATAGAAATCATATTTTGTATAAATAAAATGGTGAGAAAGGGCTTTCATAGATATTCTCCCACCCCCTTGTTTCTTCTGAATCTATTAAGGAATTAATATATGAAGAGGTTCCTGAGATATCTATTTACAAGGTTTTTATTTCAAAAGTGGTGCACAATGACCTTTGACCTTAACCTTGACCAATGACCAATATAGTCTTAGTCTGGTTTAGAATATGATAGTGTGATGTGATTATGAAGTAAAACTGTTAAGGAGTTCAGGAGATGTCGTGGACACAAGGTTTTTTTTTTATTTCACAGTGACCTCTGACCTTTAACCTCAACTCATGATCACCAAAATCTAATCAGACATTGACCTTGGAGAAGTGAAGTCATGTTGTGAATATGAATTAAATCTGTGCAGTGGTTCAGGAGACACAAGGTTATCACAGACATACATATGGAAGGATGCATAGATAAAATGATTACTTAATTCCCCTCCTTACCTAAGTCGAGAAACAATGACTTTGATGACGTCACCTCGGCAGGCAGGATGAAAGTCTATGAGGTAGAAACTTAGTTTTGCAAGAAAAAAACAGAGTCAATTTTCAAAATGTCTGGGAAATTTTTACCAATCTCAGTATGAAAGATTGTTTGGGAAGGACAGCACATGTGGTATCAATAGACGATGCTCTCAGCACTTACGGTTTGGGAGGGGCAGACAAATAAATAGAGATTTAAAAAGTTTTGGTCACGATGCACTACTTCACTTTGTGTATGGGTGGATTTTTTTCATATTTGATCTGAAAAATTCTTTTGAAAATTAATTCACATCTTCTACTGGAAAAGTTGGAGATAATAAAGAAAACGGTGCAAAAGATAAAACATAAGGGTTATAACTGTACTCCAGGTTAGTAGATGTGGTAATCTTTAACCAAAGTTAGACTTCAAGGTCCTCAATAGTAGGTATTCATACTGCATACAAACTTTGTGAGAAAGTATGTGTGTCAGAGGGAGAGAGTGTGTGTATGAGTGAGTGTGGGATAAGGTGTGTATATTGGGGGGGTGGGGGGAGGGGGATACTACATGCCAATAATAATCCATTGAAGGGTGGGGCCAATTGTACTGTAGTTACTTAAATATGAAAGTAACTTTTTATGTCTAATTGATTTCCTAATCACATTTAAATTTAAAACTGATTTTGATTTTGAAATATGAACAGGCAAATGTCTTTTTGAAACTGAAATGACATGTACAAAAGGCAGCGATAGTTTGCTTTACTGTAAGTCACTTATATTTAAAATGGGATGTATTTTCGTGCTAATATGCGAGGAGAACCAAACACCAGTTCAAAGCACCTGCAATAATATGTGCGAAACTCTTGATGACATCCTTGTAATACCATTGTTAGCTTGATTTTACAGGCACTTACGTTGAATTTATACATAATTATATTATCACAAACAAATCCACTAAACATATTTGTCTCCCTGTGCTATTTTTGTTTAAAACATGTAAAATATCTATTTTATCTTTAAGTACAAAAGAACAGTTGGAAAACCGTTGACAATATTACTACTGGGACAACTGTAGTTAGTATAAACATGGTTATAACATTACACAATGAGTCTGGCCTATTGAAGTCCTGTCGACTTCCTCTGAAAACAACTCGTCTAACTCTACAAGCATATACATGTGGAGAAGTCATGTTTATTTTGTTGGGTGGTCGGGGTGGCGCAGTGGTAGCGCACTCGCCTTTCACCTAGCCGACCGGGGTTTGATTCCCGGAACGGACGTGAAAAGGTAAGGGGTCACCTACCCGACCACGTGGGTTTTCCCCGGGTACTCCGGTTTCCTCCCACAATAAGACCCCTCGCGCGCTTACATCCGGGCCAACAAGAGTGATTAGTATAAGTTGACATAACTTGTTTCGCAATTGTTGTAAAATATATAAAGTTTATATTATATATATTTATTTTATTTTGTCTGTACTCTGGAGATACAAATCACAGTATCAGATGATAGAATAACATAACTCTCCTCAGCAATGGCGACCAACATGAAGCTATAGATTGCTGTCCATGTCTCTAATAGCTCATCGTTTGTGAAGTCTTTTGTAGATCAGCATTTGTGGAATCATGTATTCGCAAATATGTCTGTAGAGTTGAGTTCATGAATCAAAGTATCCACAAAATCTACTATTGCTCATTTTGTAGAGCAATGACCTGTGTTACCTGAGGTGAAGATCAGAAAAGGTAGGACACTTCCTGCCTATGAAGGTGTGTGCATTGTCCTGGCAAAACACTTTATCCTAATTGCTCTGAATGGCCTCAAGTTTGTTGTTTAGTGAGATACTAATTACTACAAAGAGACCCTACAAATGAACCTGGCTGTTAAAGGGGTGATGAACCCAGCAAACAAAATGTTGTTAAAGTTGAGAGTACAGGTCACTTTACTAGTGGGACTTTCCCTTTAGTCAAGCCGTAGAGTGTCTGGCTAGAGACCAAAGGGTCACTAGTTCAACTCCTGGGGTGGCAGGATGTTTTTCATTACTCCTTACTATTACAATATCATAGACTGCCCTGCAGGTAGTGCATCAAAGCTGTATACAAGCCTTCCATGGTATGATCAAAGAAGGCAAATGAACTTTGGATCTTGTCTTTTCTCTCACCTCTAAACACCTTTTTTTCTTGAAGTCTCTCTTGATACTAGCTTCTTTTTATCCTTTGTAATGAGTGTCACCAATGCGATCTCTCCAGAACAACGAAGAAAATACTGACATGTAAACAGAAGCTTAATTCACTCAAATTGTATGAAACTAAGGTCAAATGTCAACAAATAAATAGAGATTTACCTGGAGATTCCTGAAAAAATGCAAGGATAATGAGACCAGGTGTTCTGGAAGGTAAAAGTCCTCATTGATATCATTCCCCTTCCCCATGTAAAACCTTGGTCAATCCATGTCAGTTATGTCGAGTTCCCAAATGAAAACAATGGTAAACAATGATGGAATCTCCTGGCATACTAACTAGAAATAAACATTTCCAACTTCATCTCATACAATAAAATTCAATATTTCCACATGAGGTCTTTATGACAACAGTAACAAGAGACCCAATAGGCCTGCATTGCTATGTTTTTCAGCTTACACAGAAAATTTGTTCCTAAGTCAGTTTCTGCAAACTTACACGTTATTTTTGAGCATGCTATGGCACAAATACCATGACCAAAGACATATTGCTTTTTAAAAAGATTTTTTTTTTTCTATTCACATTTGACCTTGAGATCTGGGTCAAGGCCAATCACTTAACAAACGTTGTAGTCCATAATCCAATCATGCTACAGTCACTATCAGCATCATGTATGTTTTGGATACTGAAATGAAGTAATTTAAAGGTTTTATCCCCTGACCTTGAAAGAGAGTTAAGATCAATAATTTGAACAAACACCTAAGCCCTTCATCTGAGCATACAACTGATCCAGTATCAGCACCCTGGATCTTTTCGTTGTTTGACTGGAAGGACAGAAGAACTCAGATGAATGGCCAGGCGAGCTTAAAATTGTTCCTAACCTTCACAAACCTATATCTCCCAAAACTCTGTTGTGAGTCTATCTGTCAGCCCTTGACATCTTGCACGGAAATTGTAATGTTTGGAACAAGCCCTTCCCTTCAATATTGAATTAACATGTAAACATTGTAGATCAAGCTTTGTCATATCAAAGTCACTACAATGTATCTTGTGCTTCCTAATTGTCCCTAATCACATCAAATGGGTTGCAAAAGAAAAAGGATTAGTTCATTGCAATTATAATGTCACCAGGTGGAGTGTCATGCTATTATGTCAAACTTCCAACATTTCAGTGTGATGGCACTATAGAGGTATTCTTGACTGACCCAATCATTCGTGTGAGCCTGACTGTTGTGAGGACATTAAAACCAGATATAAACATTTATCGGACTGTGATTACTGTAAAATGAGGTAAATTTTACAGATCTTGTGGATCTTTAACATGTAAGATTAGAAGCCTAGAAGATCCACAAAATTCACTCATTCAATTACTGTTGAAATATGGCATCATTGACAGACAGATGGACAATGGACATAGTGATTTCAACAGTGTTCACTGTCAGATGGTAAAAAATCAACAGATAAAAAGAGAGAAAATATTACTTTGAACTTATTCCACTTTATTCATAATAATATATATAATTCTTAATGTATAATATTTCCAGAAAATCTCAACAAATATCTGTAATAACTTAGCCAATGATATAACAGTCAACTTGGAAGTAATTTACAGGCAAACCTGTCCCCCTGCTCATACACCAAATCAAAAATGTCTTCACATTGTTATATCTACAATTAAAAAATCATATTGCCAGAATATCTCCAATGTCCTTTAAGGAAAATGCAAAACAATTTAAAAGATTCAGACAGAAATGGGACATTTTTACCATAATATTACTTTATTACTTGTTTAAAATATAGAATTTATTACGCATAAATTATGTACACAGAGAAACGAGAATTTTACTGTGTAAAATTACCTGTACAGATATACTGAAAACAATGCTGGTTTTCTCCATAAGTCACTAGAATTTACTATATTAAAAAAGACTGACCTAAAAGAAAGAAAAGATTTTAAAGGAGTGAATGAGTTGCCTTTCCAAATACTTCAAAGAGAAATAAAGGCCTTTTTTCATGTCAAATGTTTTCAACCAACAACAATGAATTTGAATTGTGATAGGTCATATAAATACTTTTATCTGAAATGGTGAATTTCAAATCACTACATATGTTTTCAATGTCTTTAATGAAAATTAATTCCCAAGTATATATGAAAAACAATGTTACAAATCTTAAAGAGCTTTCATGACACGGATTCAATGATGATTAGGGTATTCACAGACAAAGACAGGTTTCCATGTAAATTGACTTAGTTTGTTCTAGCCCTTTCAACCCTTAAGTCCAAAAGCACATACCTGATTTCCTACCGATAAATTGGGGGATCAGGGAAAAAAAGGCTGTAAAATCACAGAGCTCTACAAAATCACAAAAAGCACAGCTTTGCCAATCATCATGAAAATTTTAACAAATTTCATAATAATGTCGTAAAATATTTCAACATTCAAAGAATGCTGAAACAAGATTTAGTCATGAACCAATGTAAGTTAATAGTACATAAATGTAGATCTTGTAAACTTGGAAGAAAAAAATCTACAAGGAACAAATTGGATGTATAGGAAACATTTCTACTTTCTACCATGAAGTGTAGAAAATAACAATACATGTACATTGATTCAACCAATAAAGTCTATATGAGCCTACATACTGTGGAGGGATATTCAAGATAAATATCAAATCATGGCGACCAGATGACTCATCACCAAGAAATAGTCAGTAATGAGTATTTTTTCACTATTTTTCTTTTTCGTTTTCTTGAAAATCAGTCTCCACTTCTGTTATCACATGTCGAACAAAGCCATGAAATGAAATTCCGATGAAATGATGTTCACTTTGTAAGCGTGCGTACTAGGTATTTTTCGACAGGTAAATCCTGAATTACTCAAGAGATTTCTGCTCGATATACTTATTTGTTAGCACTGACTTTAAAACGTTCTATATGGCATTCAGTGCTACAATCAAAACAAAAGTTCAACCATCCATACAGTATTACAACCCTTCAAGCATATATGCAGTTATTTCATCCACAATCGTACAATAGTGCCAGACTAATGACGATTTGGAAACAGGTAGCCACATTATAATCACGTCCATCCTGTTGTGGTTTTGTCCATGAGTTTATCATCATATCTCGGATATGCAAATATATTTGTGCTGATGAAATCCTGCTCCACCAATGGAAATGTTACTTGGATAAAGCACATTCACACCGACATTCCTCGAACAAGACGCAAAACAATACAATTGTCAATGACTAAAATTGCGTCAAAAGTTACAAGATGTCTGCTTCGTTCATGATTTTTTCAGAGGTAACAGTAGCGCAAAATCAAAACCAGCAGATAAGACTCCTTCACAAAGCTGACTGGAACGTATACCTAATGACGATCAATCCAGATGCGCTCACGCATGCCACACAAAATACCCTGGAGAATTTAATATCAAATGGCACACAGCCTCAGTGTAGTATTTTTGTTCCCAGTAGTTGGCATACACTAGCTGGGACATGAAGCATGACCTTGGTCGAGTTGTAGACTCACGGTCAAATCAACAATTTATTTAATAATGTCTTGGCACCGAGATTCATTCAGGTTTCAGCATTCTGTTTTTTTATACATCAAAAAAACAATAAAAGAATAACAACTCATTGAGATCTAATAATGTTTCAAAACAAATGTGTCGTGTTTTTGTGATAGATATCACGGTCGGACAAAGGAAGCTTGGAGAGGGGAGAGGTTCCAGCCATAGTCAAATAGCTTCGGTGTTTTGTTTTAAACAGTCCCGACGAGTCAACTCATCAGCCGAGGATTAAACATGCATCCTCTAAATGAATGATGAATGCTATTTTTTCAGTCTATTGGAGGGGATAACCGATATACCCCGACAAGCTATCAACACCTGTGGGATCAATCAGATATTTTTATCACAAGATGAACGTTGTTGCAGTAACACAGCCACTTTTCTGTCATTTCGCACTAGCTCCCGTGTTCGTACTACTACTGGGGAATTTTATCGTCACTGGAGTGTCACCGTCCGACTCTTGACTAAGGGTATCTCTGTCTTCCTCTAGGTCAAATTGGAAGCGTGTCTCCTCTTCTTTATCCCGTGAGGAACAGAAGCTGGACGAGGGACTGATAGGAATCATCCGCATGTACCAGTCGCGGTTATCTTCCAAGGTGTCGAGAATTTCTTGAGCATCTGGAAACACGAGGTCTGCCCAAGTCTCCCACAGAGGATGGACTATGTAGTCGATGAAGCTCACCTAGTGACAAAATAAATGAAAAAAATTAAAATCTAAATCACATAATCAATCATATGAAAATTCAACAAAAGCAGAAATAACTATAAACCTTTGTACTAAAGAAATAAGACACAAAACCTTATCATTTATAATTTGACAATTACTAGCAATTAAATTTGTTTAAAATGTGGTACAAGACCAGTCATCTCAGAACAGAGTCTCACACAAATGTTGAGTTTGACATGCAAGGCTTACCTGTGTTTTTTCTATTGTAGCCGTATGTCTATCACACATGGGGCTAATATCCAAGCCCTTCTCCCGTTCCAGGTCACCCTGGAGGAAGAACTCCTGCATGATCCGATCCACCCACATCTTGTACATCTGGAGAGGCTTGGTAGGGTTACTAAGGTCAGAGCAGTGAACCATGTTCTGTAACACCTGTAAACAAACAACACACCTGTCTAATCAACTGTTAATAAACCACACAGCTGTCTATATACCTGTAAACAACACAGCTGTCTATATACCTGTAAACAACACACCTATCTCTACACCTGTAAACATCACACCTTTTTATATACTTGTAAACAACACACCTATCTATACACCAGTAAACATCACACCTTTCTATAAACTTGTAAACACCACACCTGTCTGTATACTTGTAAACACCACACCTGTTTATACACCTGTAAACACCACACCTGTCTATATAGGTAAATACAATACACTGGCAATACAACTGTATTAACATTATTAACAATAAGCCCACATCTGGCAATAAGCCCACCATTGTGTTTGTTGTTCAGTAAAATTGTAACAAAAAGTTATTTCATTGTCCTATAACAAGCCCATCATAGATTTTGTTGTTCAGTAAAAAAAATGTAGACCCAAAGTTACTTCAGTGTTCTGTAAGATGCACACCACAGATTTTTTTGATGAGTAAATCCTAAACCAAAGATATTTTATAGCCATGTTATAAGCACAACTCCCTTGACTATGTGTCAGAATTAATTTGATGGTCCCCTGGCCTTATTGGAAGATGCATACACTAATAACATAATGGGCACAGACACTATTTTTCATACGATTACAACAAATATTGATTCAAAATGACACAATCACCAAAATGTTAAGTCTAGTTTGTTGCTCCAATAACTTTGAAATAAAATGTTGAGAGAACACAAAGAACTTTTTGATAACAAATAAATCATAATATGCATGTATAATATACTTATCATATGTGTATCTAGTGGTGAGTGAATAGTTATCTCCCTTTAACTATACTTTACCCAATACTTTAGGCTAGAATTTTCAGCTGAACCAAAGTTTCAAAGACGTTTGATATGATAAAAATGCAAAAATCAATACCAAAACAAAACATCGTTTTACTGAAATGACATTTTTAACAACAAACTGAAGTAAATGTGTTGCTATAGTTACCTGTATTCTGTCGGAGTAGTTGTCAAGTAGAAGTACCCCAGAACCAGCCACTTTCTTTGTTTCTACCATTGTCTTTAGATCGGCCAAGAGGCTCATGTGTTTGGACATGTCAGTGGCTAGAACCTGAAAGAAAATGGTCAGTATTGTAAATTGCCCTTATTGGTCAATGAGAGTGAAAAAATAGTCACATGGTAAACCAGAGTGTCATGAGTTATGACTGACTCTCAAACCCCTACATTTGAGACAAACCCTCTGACCCAAAGATCCTGGACTTAGACTCTCTAGCCAAATGGTCCTACACTCAAGACAGAACCTTTAACACAATAATCCTAGACTTGACACAAGCCCTCTTATCTAAGGTCTTATATCTAGACAGAACATATAACCCATAGGTCTTACACTCTAGACAAACCTTTTAACCCAAAGGTCCTAGACTTGAGACAAACCCTATAATCCAAAGGTCCCAGGCTTGAGAAACTCTAACTCGCAGGTCCTTGTCTCAAAACAGATCCTCTAACCCAAAGGTTCTGGAGTTTTAAGATTTCAAGGCCTGATCACAAGTGCTTGATCTCAATCATTTTGTCTAAACAACAACATGAAACTATCAACAACTACAATCAATATCTATCATTGTATTTACAGAACATTCCTGTCAGTGCCATTAATGGTAGTTTCCTTGACCTTCAAACTATTTTAAATTCTAAGAATGATACATACCATATCAATGACCATTTTACGTAGCGTCTGTCTCTGCTTGCCAGTAAGGTTAAAGAGAATGTCACAGTTTTCTTCCTGTAGGAGTTTGAATGCTACAGCCAGATGGTGATTCTCCAGTACTGATTCATCGTTGTACATGAGGGCAAGCTCTGAACCTACAACAAAAACAGCACTTGGTTAAAGATGGATGTCAGTCAGACAACAAATCACTGTACAGTTGGTAACATTTGTGGTGGATTTACTATTAATATATTCCTGTCATTAGGAAAATCGCTGAATTAGACACCCACCAAATATATTTTTACAATCAATCAAAATCCCAACATTTCTGTATTATCTACTGGTAGATACTGATACCACTTTTTTAAAGGCCTCATCTTCATAAAGTATACCAATACCTGTCAAGAGAGGCCACCTCCATATAAAATTTACTGTCTAAAAAGGCCATATCTATATAAAATATACCTGTAATTAAAGGTCATCTCTATATAAAATATACCTGTAATTAAAGGTCATCTCTATATAAATTATACCTGTAATTAAAGGTCATCTCTATATAAAATATACCTGTAATTAAAGGTCATCTCTATATAAATTATACCTGTAATTAAAGGCCATATCTATATAAAATATACCTGTAATTAAAGGTCATCTCTATATAAAATATACCTGGAATTAAAGGTCATCTCTATATAAAATATACCTGTAATTAAAGGTCATCTCTATATAAAATATACCTGTAATTAAAGGTCATCTCTATATAAAATATACCTGCAATTAAAGGTCATCTCTATATAAAATATACCTGTAATTAAAGGTCATCTCTATATAGAATATACCTGTAATTAAAGGTCATCTCTATATAGAATATACCTGTAATTAAAGGTCATCTCTACATAAAATATACCTGTAATTAAAGGTCACCTTTACGTAAAATATGCCTGTCGATAAATTATTTAAAACATACTTGTCAATCAAAGCCTTCTCTATGTAAAATATACCTGTCAATAAAGGTCACCTTTAAGTAAAATATGCCTGTTGATAAATTATTTAAAACATACTTGTCAATCAAAGCCTTCTCTATGTAAAATATACCTGTCTATTTCAAGGCTATCTCTATATAAAATATGCCTATCTATAACAGTCACCTTTATATAGTATAGACCTGTCTATTGAGGCCATCTCTATGTAAAATATACCTGTCAATAAAGGTCACCTTTATGTAAAATATACCTGTCAATAAAGGTCACCTTTATGTAAAATATACCTGTCAATAAAGGTCACCTTTATGTAAAATATACCTGTCAATAAAGGTCACCTTTATGTAAAATATGCCTGTCTATAAATGTTACCTTGATGTAGTAAATACCTGTATATAAAGACTGACAAAACCACCTCTATAAAGCATATACAGATTTGATAATTGAAATATTCTTTTTTCATCATGTTTCAAACTGGATTTGGACCCATAACCAAAATGATGCTTACTTGTGTTTACAAGGTACTGGTTCGTCAGGCCAGGGTGATCAACATCATGCATTGCACATGCAAATATGGCTGCAAGCACTTCTAAATCTGTGAACACATTCTGTGTAAAAAGAAAGACAAGATGTTAGTTTTAAGTCATTGATGAATACTAAATCATCAAATACAGTACAAGTGGTTATTCTAAATGCTGTTTGTGTTTTCTGTTGGCCTGCATGAAGCCACAATGTGTGCGATACTATTATAGAGTTCATGAACAATCAATTTTATATGTTAACTGAATCCAACTCTCTCTGTAAAGCTTTTTAAAGAAATAACCACTATTGAATTGGATGGATGTGATTTGAATATTTTCAAAGAGAAAAGTTCCCTAACAGTAAATGACAGCAAAACATATTTACATAATTCATTCAATGAATATTCACACAGACTGAATTTCCACACATATTTTGAAGTCTGACTAACTATATCAAACTTCCTGAATTAATCAACACGAAGTATGATTGATTGACACAATGTCTGGCTATTAAATGACTAGAAAAAAAATGCAGTTTGATCATTCATTCCAAATTTTTTCCTCATATTTTCTTGCAACCTATTTAAGGTGCATTTTTCAAACCAAGGGTTATTTGGATATATTAGGACTATTGCAGGGATTTAAACACCCCTACTGCAATTGTGTGTGTCCTCAAATATCCTTTTGTGAACAGGAGAGTACACAAATACCCTTCCACAAATGGATGGGTACTCAAATATCCTTTCATAACCAGGTGGGTACTCGTATATGCTTTCATGACCAAAGTACTGACATACCCTGTCATAACCAAGTGGGTTCTCAAAAACCCCTTTCATAGGTTGATCAAATATATAGTGTTACTTGAGAAGAATTACTCAAAGAAGTCTAAGAAAATCATAAAAGATATTCAAATACGTGTAATGCAATATATCCAGACAGATGATCAAATACCCTGTAATTGTAGTTAGATCTCTCGCTTAAAACTGTTCCTTAATGGATTTTACACCCTAATGTAAATTCCATATTATCAATGATATGTTAATATGTTTGTCTGTTGCACTTATTGAACTGACACACCTTGGACTATCAGGAAGGCACTTAAATGTTAAGTAGTGCGAGGGGAATTACGATGACGTTGTATATAGATATGTGTATAAATATCTCTCTATGGTTGTTAATTACACTATGCCAAGCACAAAGTCCTTGTCTACACTCTCCTTATTTGTTTTTTCTTTATCCATCGTTATTTAGTTGGAGTAATTTGTGGTTTATTACAGACAGGACTGACGTCATCACAGCAAGGCCTGTGATCACCAGCTTACAACACTACTACGATAGGTCTTCTGCCAATTAATGCCTTTTTTATCAGTTTTCTCTTGGTTCTGTTGACCAAGCGTGGAGGTTTAAGTTTATCCTTTCCTCCCCAGATGTTGAGGTTAGGATCTGCCATCTTTGGTGTTTGGGATTACAACAAAGTGTTAAATAGGGGTCAGAGATTTGTTGGCCATCTACGTAGAACTGACGAACTTCCGTCATCATGGAACCAGAAAAGGGTGTGGAGGATGTGTATTGGGTTGTCTCAGTTGATAAATTGGGCGTGACAAACAAGTGTGACATATTTTATACACTGAATTAGTTTTCTAATTAAGAGAATTTTTAATTGGTCATCACAACTGATAAAAAAATACCTAAATGTATCTTAATGAAGATGTTAACATCTGTATGTTTGTCGAGGACATTTTAAAAAAGCGAAGACAAAATTCAGTCTTTAAAAAAGTATTAAATAATTGTTTAATCAAATTTGAAATTAACAAAAAACAACATGCAGGATATTTGCAGATTTTTTTCTTTTTTAAAGATGTCAAAGTTTTCTTAATTTCATTTATAGTCATCATTTCCAACACATAATGGACATATGTAACATATAATAATCAGCTTGCATGTTCACCATTTTCTCTCTAAGTATATCAGATAAAGACTTGAATGTCAAATTCATTCTTACCTCTAGAGCCTGTGATGAAAGAAGAACATGCGTGGATTGTACAACATCTGCTGCATGCATGGAATTATGGTAGGGTACATCTGTGTGGTAATGATCTTCCAAATGCATTAGATATGTGACTAGGGTTGTGTTAGGGATCTGGAAGGTTTTCATTAAATTTCGTTCCTGCAAAAAAAAAACTTAAATAAATATACATAAAATCCATGTAGATTGACATATTGTAAATTGAAATTGATGAGGTCTAAATTACACAATAGGAGCTATAAAATCTTCTTGTAAATGCGTTTTTGATAATCTAATGATTTCAAACACCAGATCCCTTTCTGATAGTTCACGGACAAATTTCAAATGATACATATTCACATTTATATGGTTCATTCGAGAACTAATGTGATCTTAAAAACATTTTCTGATAAAAATTTACAAATGCTATTATTCCTATCATAATTCTCTTTAGCTGCTGCTAGGACATAATATATGTCATGACTAACTAAATACTCTGCCATTCATAAAATCTATGTCCCACTAAGGTGGGTTCGTCCGTGACTAACAAGCTGCTGAAACTCACCTGGAATATCATATATGTAACACAGGTAAGAGGTTGCTTGTTGGATAATTCTGATATTTTGAATAGGTCAACGCCCCATTTATTAATGTCTTCAAGATACTGAAAGAAATAATGATATTCATTCATAATTAATTCAAGTACAAGGTGTTTTTTTATGGAAATACCAGCAAATTATTATTCTACAAGTTCAAGATCAGAACCTTTATTCATTCCAGTTGTCTGACACCTTGGTTTACAATTTATGCACAATTTGCATTATAAAATGTTTCATAGCCATTTTTATTTGATCACATGTTATTATTCAATTAAATGAAACACAGTTTTAATCCAACTCTCTGTAACTGTTTAGTGCTATAGATAAGTAGTTCTCTTACTGATAAATTCAACTACATCTAAACAAGCCCATCATTTAATGCTTCTTTGATGTTAATGACTGAGATTTTGAAAAAAAAATCACCTGACTGAGGTCCTCTTGGTGCGACGTTTCCACACCATACTTTGGTACAATTCCTGTAAAGCTGTTGGCATGCTTTAATTTGCGGACACCAGTTATTTTCGTCATCGGCCTTCTCTCAGAATCTGGTGTTACTTCTTTCTCCTCACGTATTGGCTGTTCTTTATGATCTTCTACCTTGAATGTCGGTAAATCCAGCTCCTGTTGTTTATCTATAAATAAAACATTGGAAAAACATAACAATTAAAGCGGAAAAGAGTAAACCACTGAAAGTCTCTCAAATTTCCTGGCCTTTATCCCAACGGGAAGTTACATATTACAAATGCTGATTCTAAAACACTTTCATCAGTAATTCACAATCAACCCTTCAAATTACCTAGAACCACACTTCCTGCCTTCCCTTAATCCCCCCACCCCCACCCACCTAAAATAAAACCGACAAAAACTAGTAATTATACACACATATTAATTTGTATATCCTGGAGCAGTTTGTAAATTCACATAAACGTGGACATTCTATCACTAATTCACTTACTGTATGCACAAGAAAAAGTACAGTTTCATACCCCTCAAACATCCTCTAAAAAAATCATCTTACTAGAAGAAGTTTCCCACCCCCCCCCCCCCCCCCCATCCCCCCAACTAAAAAAAAAATATAATTAATTAAAAAAATTTATCAATTAAAATCAGTATAATTTGGCTGTAAAGTATATCTAATTAAAAGACATATTCCAATTAAATGAAATTAATGACTGCTTGACACACATAGTGGGTTACAAGAACTTAGGTATGTGAATAGAGAAACAAATTTACATTTTCACTCATCTCGTCCATTACAGGGATGTGATAGATGATGGAAAATAGCTACACAGTAATAAATAAACTATACATGTCACAGATATCTAACAACGATATATCATTGAGACAATAACTTGGTTTGTAACTGATAAAGAATTTCAGCACATGTGTTATAAATTTAATACTTCATGTGTACTTGAACAATAAGTGTTAATTCACTTCTCATCAATCAAGATAAAATTTCACATAAGAATAAATTACAATGTCTACAAACGTTACATACATACTTGTATATAGACGTATATATATGTCGGCCTACTGAGGTAGCAAAATTAATTGTAAAGCATCTGAAAATTTGATATGAAAGTGTTTATACTTTTCTAATCAGAATTGGAAAATGCATATGTATGTAGACATTTTATATATCCGTAATGTAATAATTCAGATACATATTTATCAATTATGGACGTTTGATGAGGTCGGCATGGTGTTACATTAACCTGGTGGACGTGTGCTCTGTCAGGTATAACCTCGAGGCTTACAAGTGATGATTCGGCTAAAACCATTTACATTTATCACAAGTATGAAATAATCATTCAATAAAAACAATAAATGTTTGTACATCTCATTGTTTAGTTAAGAGTCTTCCATACACGTTTTTTGCAAGTCATGTGATGGTTTGATTTAGTTTTCCCGTCACATATATGTCATAAAACGAGAACAATTGCGGTTTTAATTACGAGGCCTATCACTTGTGTTTGCAAGCACATACAGACATTGTCAGGCATACAGACAGGATGAGTCAACTTCCCACAAACTCAGAAGATTTTGCATTAGAACTTAATGACGTAAGATACCTGTGTTATATCTCCTCTACCAAGGACAGACAGAAAGGTTGTGAAGAAGTTGGACTGTGATTACAAATTATTAGGACACTTCAATCCCAAAGTAATCAGAAGTATATGAGGCATGAAAAAGCCCTTATAAGGGTCAAGTAATTACATACTATCAAACTGATCACTTGTTATTTCAGTGACGTAAACTATAAACACAACTGCCAAGCAATTCAAAGCCTTGTTAGATTAATGATAAATCTCCTAGAAAACTTATATATCTACTGCGACTTGAAATTCATAACTGAAATTAGCATACTTCTGTTCAAATGCTGCATACTTAAAATTTGTTTATCAGAAGTCTGTCCATTTGTCTGGCATTCTTTCCCTAAAGATATGTATCCATCCCACCAGTTTCTCTTTGGTTAATCTCTCAAACCATCTTTTTATCAACCAGTTCATCAATGCATCTGTCCATCTCCAACATTTGCTACCTGATACGTTTTTCCTTCATCTATTCTTTCATTGTTTTCCTTCATCTATTCTTTCATTGTTTTCCTTCATCTATTCTTTCATTGTTTTCCTTCATCTATGCTTTTATTGTTTTCCTTCATTTATGCTCTCATTGTTTTCCTTCACCTATTCTTGTATCATTTTCCATTATCAATTCTTTCATTATTTCCTTCATCTATTCTTCCAACCTTTTCCCTCTATCCCTACTTATCCAATGGTGGAACTACAGTTCTCTATGCCTGTCTATCCATCTGTTTTGTCTTCTCTGTCTGTTGTTTGTCTTTCCCTAATCACCATTTGTGTATTTATTTGTCCTTAAACTCATCTGTCTTCATGTATTTGTTTTTTTCCTTTACATGTCTGTCAGTCCATCTAATTATGGTCTATCTGTCTGTCCATCCTGTCCTACATATAGCTGGCTGCCTGAGCCAGAGTGCAGTGTCTGTATAGAGAGAGCACCTCCTGATCCCCTGGGATGTACACTGCACTATACCTCAATTATCGTACCATCTTACATAACAACTTCTGTAACATGATGGGCAAATGTAGAACGTTAAACTTAACACTAATGGCAAATTGGCTGAATATAAGACCGATTCCTCAACTGGCAAGAGAAGAAAAAATCGTGAAAATATGCAGTTTAAATGTATACTAAGATAACCTATTTTTTTTCTATGTAGAAATATGTTGGCATTTTGCCTTGGTTGGAAACACATATCTTTTGAATGAAATCGGCTAGCTATATCTCTGCCGCTGTCAAATCATCTCCCAGACACTCGACTGATCTCAACTGCCTAGAGGTAAAATGGGGAGATGTTGTTGAATGGATAGACAGGAGCTTAAGGGTTTTCTGTTTGCATCCTCTTGTCAGTATGAAATGACTGGAAGCATAAATGCATGAATTAATTGGTTACTGCTGTTGCTAACTTCACATTGTCATAGCAACCACATGAAATCATGGCAATGAAGAGTTCTTAAAATATGGGAGATAGATTTTATTTTTGTGAAAAGGAAACAAAATACATGCAATCATTCTGATTTCAATAAGTTGAATTTTTTGTTTTAAATACAAATAAATACAGCTATGTAACTGCAGTTGTTTATTGTCTGTCATTGAAAGAGTTGAAATGAGAGGGAACCCATCTACATCGACTTTAGCTTTGTTGATTCCATCAACTCTGGACCTACCTTCATCAACAGTTTTGCTGACTGATCCAAAGTGGTACATATTTTATTTGGTCTTGTTTCTCCTACATTCGCAGATAATACCCACATTCCTAGTTATGTGCACTTAAACATTACAATATCAGATGTGACATTGTTTATGCAAGCCTGTTTTTATCACCTGTGTTAACTGCTGTGCTATGAATTTTACACCATACAACTGTCAACAAACCAACACATGAACATTTTGTATTCCATCATTTTTCTCCACATTTATCAAAAAATATTTTCATTTCAAATGCAATTAATTTCCTCCACTTCCTACAACCTTGAACTCCTGACTTTTACCCTGCCCTGACCTTTCCTATAACAACAACTGCCAGCCTTACCTGTGGCTTAGGTATGCCATTAGGATAGTCTGCCATTGAGGAAAGTAATTTCACGCTAATTTCCCAGCACTAAACAACAGGAAAAAACGATTTAGCCTCCTAACGCTATCTAATAGAGGCGACTGCTTTACTTTAGCCTGTGCCTCCTCAGAATGGAGCCTAAAGGGTGCTGTATTTTTAGAATCTTCTTTGTACCTTCTTCACTAATGAATACAAGTAAGGAATTTGTTGGAGAGGTTTTTCATGTACAATTTACAGCTTTAGAATCCAGTGTGTTGCCAAAACAAACATGGATGCGCCAGTACAAATGCAGAATAACATTTCATGATAATGTCAGACAAATTCCAGTCCTGGCTAGAAATCGGTAAGATATAAGCCAGATTATACAAAGGATCACAGATATATATCACAAATGCAATACAGGTGTTTGTATATATAAACTAATTGATTTGTTTACCAAAGAAGTAAAGCATACAATTTTCTGCAGTAACAAATGTTAATTATCATCTGCTATCCAAATTCCCTGGGTCGTAAACCATCATAAATGTCTTCTTTACATGAATTTCCGTGTGCATTACATACCTGTTTATCTATAAGACTCGATTTTCCAACAATTAAATTTTTTTCTGTTTAAATCATGAAATTTTGCATCAAATTACATTCATTGTTTATGCAATCTGATGAAATAACTTACAAAAAACTACATTTGTGCTTTCTACATGTTAAGCAATGTTAGTTTTCCATCAATGAGTAAATTCAATCCCTAAATAAAGACATTCTTTGGTTTGAAAATTTTGTTTACATCAGTATTTCAATACCCAAAATACATTCTTTAAAGTTTGGAAATTTGTTTTCAAAATAACATGATTTTTCAAAACTAAACTTAAACTGCAAGTATTATTTAACACAACTTGGACACATATGACAGGAATTCAATTCAAAGTTCTTTAGAAAATTGCAATCAGGTTTTGATTCAGAAAACAATTGTTAACACTTACAATGCCATCTTCGACAGACAGGTGAGCGAGGTGACCCGACAACCACGCTAGTATCTGTGGACAGGATCCTGCCATTTACATGATGAACGGGACCATTTTGGTCCCCTCCGTGGAACGGGGGCATGTTAACACCCAGAGCGACCAGGGACGACATGTGGACCATTATGTGACCTCTGACAGTCCGAAGAGTTATTGACAAAGTTTGCAAATCAAAACACCTTCAAAACACAGTTGGTAGCAGATGCTAGACACTTGTTTGTTAACACCAAGTTGCACACATATTTCCTTTGAAAGTCATACAACAAAAGCAGTGCTCTTGATTTTCAGTGACAGTTTGTCTGTGTAGAATATTTCTCATTCACAATTGAGAACAGTTTCTCCTAAAAGTCATTTCTTTTTCAATCATCAGCCATATTTACACAAACAGTGATATCCCGACGTCACAATTCACAGAATTGGTATTGAAAAAAAACAACAAAAAAATAGAAAACTATTTCAGATACAAAATACTCTGATA